CTCAGGTCGGTGTAGTCGACGCACATGCACCACTTACCGTTTGCCTTTTTCACCAGAATGGAGTTGACTACCCAGCTCGGGTAATGGACTTCCCTGATAAAATCGGCTGCAATGAGTTTCCCAACCTCCTCGTCGACTGCCCTCCATCGTTCTGGGGCTAGGTTGCACTTCTTTTGTCTAACGRGCCTAACTGAAGGATCAATGTTAAGTCTGTGAGTGATAATGTTGGGGTCTATTCCGGGAATTTCTGCCGCCGACCATGCGAAAACATCTAAATTTTCGAGTAAGAAGTTTACCAATTGAGACCGTAGGGGCTCCTCAACAGAAGCGCTGATCTGAAGTACCCGCGCTGGATCGTCTGTCAAGGTCAGGATGGGGATGGTCTCTTCAGTAGGTGTGCCTGCTCTGCGAACTGCTCTATGGGTCGTCCCAGCTCGAGGCCGTCAGCTACCTTGGCCTTTCCTTTGAGGGCGGCTATGTAGCATTTGCGGGATTCGAGCTGATCGCCCCGCGCCACTATCGTGTTGTATGGAGAGGGGGTTGCAACCACCAGGAACTCGTGATTGAGCCTTACCACACTGGGCCAAGTACCGACCTCCACCGACACAGTGACTTTCCCTAACGGCCTGACCTCCTCGCCGCTGAATCCCACCAATGGAGTGCTTGCGGGCTTCAGGTCACCCTCTGGGATCTGAAGCTGATCAAAGGCTGCCTTGAAAAGGATGTTTGCCAAACTGCCCGAATCTACCAGGACACGTTTGACTTCGAAGTTATCGATCTTGATCTTGATGACGAGCGCGTCATCGTGGGGGTAGTGGACTCCTCGCACATCGTCTTCAGTGAAGAAGATCGACTCCTCCACCCTTGGCCGCTTCAGGGGGTTTAACTCTTCTCTGGCGGTTTCATGGGCTGATGACCGAGCTACTGCCGAGGTGCAGCTCGCGACAATTGATCCTCCAACGATTACATGGATGGTCCTCAGACTGGTCTCTCGTCTGGAGGCTGTCCCTGCGGTTGCTCCGCCTGTCTACTGGACTTAGGGGTTTCTTTATTCTGCCCCCCGTGCCGACCTGCTTTATTATTATTATTGCCATGCTATACAAAATTTCTCAAATATCCACGACGGATGAGCTCTTCTATCTCATCGCAGAGGTTATTACAATTTTTGGTGCTATGATTGTGATCTCTATGGAAGTTACAGTATAAGTTCTTGTTCCTAACACTAGGATCGGCCTTGAGCCGAGGTGGCCACTTTACATACGGGGCGTCCTTGATCGCCATGAGGATCTCGGCCCGCTTCATGTTGAGGGGTGTAAACACCCTTTCTGCTGCTGGAGCTCGGAAAGGTTGAACTGGCTATGCCCCCCAAGCTTGATTCTTCTTCTTCTTGTAGTCATTAGGAACCGGGGGTTTCGGTTCCCTCTTTCTTTTTTCGGGGGCGTGCTCTCCCTTCTGGTTGATCTCCTCCTCTATTCCTATGAACCGTCTGCAAGCTCGAGGAACTCAGTCACGGTTTTGGGCTGGTTGACGACCACGTGCCATCTGAACTCTCTGTGGGTGATACCTCGTTTTGCCGCCGTAAGCCGAACTGCAGGGTCCAGGTTAGGTATCTGTAGGCAAGCATCATTAAACCGCTTGATATAGCTCCAAATGGACTCCCCCTCTCTCTAGACTATGCTGAGGAGGCTTTCTTGGGTCCTCGGGCATCTCTTGCTAGTGACGAAGTGGAAGGTAAAGACCTCCACGAACTGTGCCCAACTCCTTATCGAGCCCGGCGAGAGGTTTCGGTACCAGGTGCGGGCCACCCCTTTGAACGTAGTGGAGAAGGCCACACACATACAAGATTCGCGTGCCCTGGCCAGATGTATCTGGGACAGAAAGGCATCGACGTGGTCGTTGGGGTCGAAGGACCCATTGTATTTGTCTAACAGTGGGAGCTTGAAGTCCTTGGGCATGGGGACTGCGAGGAGCTCCGGGGACAGAGGAGAGAGGACTGAGAGAAGTGGTGTGGCTCTCACCTCTCTTGAACTTATTTCTATTTTTCCCTTGAGCTCGGGCAGGTTGGGGACGGTGGTAGTTTGGCGGGCCCGGTGATGTCTTCGCTGCTTCTTGGCCGGGTCGCGTTGGTGCTGTTGGCCTCTGTATTGTTGAGTTCGATGGGCCCGGGGGGAGGCAGGGATGGCTGCCGGTAGCTGCGGACAGAAGGGCCTTGTTCCAGGTCGTCGGCTAGCACCTCGAACCTGTTCTCCGTGAGCAGAGGCTCGAACTGCAAGTTCCTGGGTGACGCCGGCCTAACCGGCTGGGAAGCCCCCGACCTGACCGCGGGCTGTGTGGCAGGGGTAGGGAGTCTTCCCTTTCTTCCGTGAGATGATGCCGAAGTCTCTCCTCGGCGGGAAAGGAGTTCACTGTGGCGCTGAGGCTTAGCTAGCTGCGCCATCGGATGTCAGGGAGGGAGTGAAGGGAACTGTTGTTGGTATTGGTACTGGGACACTTGGTGCAGCACTTGCTGTTGGTGAAACTAGAGTTGTTGAAACTGCTGCATCTGGGCTTGCATAACCCACATGCACTGCATCAAGTCTTCAAGTTGGCCTTGGCTGGTCACCGGAGGGAGAATGGTGGGTTCGGCGGAGGTCGTCCCGACTGCAGGGGGCAGCGGGACATTTACGGGTGCCACCGTTGCGGGCACGTTCAGGCTAGGAACTCCATCCGCAGAAAGGGGGACGGTGAACTGCCCGATGCAAACGGTGGGTAGTTGGAGTTGCTCCTCTGGGGTGTTCCGGCGTTTGGAGTTGCTAGAAGAAACCATGGGTGTCGGTGGTGCTGGTGAGTAAAAGAAGAGAGTTTTGCAGAGATTAAAGGGAGGCTTTTTGAAGCGTTTCCCATAGATGGCGCCAAATGATGCTGCACGATTTGGGCAGTCCTAGCTGACTGTAACCTGGCTTCTGACTGGAATGAACGGCACCTGAGAGGAAGGAGAAGGTGAAGGGTTCCCGGGGAGTAATCCCGATGGGAACACTCCGATGGCTAAGTTAGAACAGGAGGAAATCTCAAAGAGAGAGTACAGAGTAAGAGTGTTGAAAGTGCTTAAGCTTCAATACCTTTACTTCGTGAGAGTTGGGGTTCTTTTA